GTAGGGATTTTTATTTTTAGATATTTTGTCAGGAAAAGGTTTACCAAGTTGGTGTTTTTATGGATTATAGGGTTTTTTTTGAAAAAAAAAAAAATGAATTAACACATTTTTGCTAATTCTGATTTCATTAAAAGAAAATTTCGTCTTTAAAATGGTTTGTAACTTGGCTGAACTTAGATAAAATGGCAACAATGTGTAGTAATGTTAAGTTTACAGATATCTACTATTTTCGATTCGAACTTTTTTAGAAAAAAATAATTTAAGAGAAATATTAATCTCCTGATTCATATTTGGTTATTTAAAATAGAAATTAAAACTAGGGATTTTTCAGTTTTTTTTAGGTTTTTTGGTGAAAAAGTTTACGAAGTTACAGTGTTTTATGGATTAGCAACTAGGGGAAAAAATATTTTTTGCTTATTCTGATTTTATTAAAAGATAAATTTGTCTTTAAAATGGTTTGTAACTTGGATAAAATTAGATAAAATGGCAACAGTGTATAGTAATGTTAAGTTACACTACTATTTTCGATAGTAACCTTAAAAAAAAATTAAGAGAAATATTAAATATTTGATTATTTAAAATACATTTTAAAATTAGGGATTTTTTATTTTTAGGTATCAGTCAAATTACAATCTTGTTCATTTTTTTTAGGTTTTTTGGTGTATTATAAAATCTTTCTTACGATTGAACGTAAAAATACAATTTTGAGTAAGTGTAATAATCAAGTTTTACTACCTAGGGACATTTATTTTTTTGCAATATTAATCTAGTTGCAAACTTTAAAAAACTAAACAAAAGAGTGGTTTGTGACCCCAATAAAAATGCGATATTTGGTTTGAAACCTTGCTTAAACGTTGAATTTATAGAAAAACCTCAATTTTTTTTAATACATAGCTGTATTTTGGGATGTATATCTCGCTTATCACACTTTCCATATTATTTTAACAACGCAATACTAACAATCGAGATTAGTTAATCTTACTAAAAATAATTCTGTTATTGTTTATCAAATCTGGTTAAACAAGTCATAAAATGCATTTTTCAGCCTTGGATAACTAACACAAACCTGAAAAAAAAAACATCATTTTGACCGACTTAAAACAGGTCTTACCTTTGAACTCCGGGTTAGTGAATTTTTTCCCGGAATGTGGGGTCATTCAAGGTTGACTAAAGTCACTTATTGTTCAAAAAACGGTTACATAACGTTTTATTACTACTACTAAAGAAATTTTATTATTCTACCATCGATGACGACATTGTAATCATAGGACACATTATATAATTTTTTGTGTACATTTTTGTAATAAAAAATGAGAATTGCCTACCTTGTGCAGAAAAATATTTACTTTTTATCTCCTAATGATGACTTTTTTCTCATTTTCTGTGTTGAGCAATTGTCATTGTCCAGCAGAATTTTTCAGAATTTTCAGTGTTGATTTTTTTTTCAGAGCTGTGCAGTTTTATATTTGATAGATAAACACATAATTTTTCAAATTTTCAAATTGTGCAGAATGAAGAGCTTGAGGAATGTTAAAATCTTGAGAAATAGAGAATTTTAAAAGAATGAGTTTTTAAAGAAAATTTTTTAATAAGAAAATGTCGAAATATTGGAAGAATGTCATTCTGAAACTCAAAATTTCGTAAAAAATTATGGTAAAAATCTTAAATCTTGATTTGAGACTCTTGAATTATGCAAAACTTTTTTAAAATCTTGAAAATAGCTAGGGAGAGTTTGATTAAAGTTCGCTGAGAAAATTAGTCTTAAAAGACCTGTTTTATGTTTTTCAGAATAATAAAAAGATCTTGAGACAAACACATAATTTTTTCTTCAAAATCTACAGAATGTAGAATCTTTAAAAAGGCGAATAAAAAAATCATATGTTTAAGATTTTGAAAAGTGATGGAAGACTTGGGAAATATTGAGAAATTTTGGATATTAGAGTTTTGAAGATATAAAAAACTCGTGAAATAATCAAGAATTTGAGATTTTAAATAAAAATTTTAACAGCTTAGAGAGAAGCCCAAAAAAGGAAGAATATTTATAACTGCGTTGGAATTCCAAATCTGATCTTCAAAAGTAAAGAAAAAATTTTAAGATTTTGAGCAAACTAGTATCTTGAAAATTTGTAATATTTTGAGAAGAAATCTTAAATTAGAAATTTGAAAAGTAAAATCTTGAAATAATTTTATATAATTGTTAAAGTAGAGACGTTGAAAAAGTCAAAATTTTACAGCATAAAAAAATTGGTAAATTATGTAAGAACAAAAGATTCAAGATGATGTGAGAAAAACACATTTTTTCAAATTCGAATTTTGAAAAATGTAGAGCTCAAAAATTTTGAGGATTGTTAAAATCTTAAGAAATAGAGAAGAGGAGAATAGAAATTTTGAAAAAAGAACACTTTGTAATAAAAAAAAATTGAGAAATTACAAAACGTCATTATAGTTCAAAATTTCATAAAAAAAAGTGCCAACAATGTGAAAAAAAAAAAGTGAGATTTTAAATAAAAATTTCAACAGCTTAGAAAGAAGCCCAAAAAAGGAAAAATATTTATAACTGCGTAGGAATTCCAAATCTGATCATCAAAAAAAAAAATTAAGATTTTGAAGAAACTAATATCTTGAAAATTTGTAATATCTTGAGAAGAAAGCCTAAATTAGAAATTTGAAAAGTAAAATCTTGAAATAATTTTATACAATTGTTAAAGTAGAGACCTTGAAAAAGTCAAGATTTTACAGCATAAACTGAAAAAAAAATTGGTAAATTATGTAAGAACAAAAGATACAAGATGATGTGAGAAAAACACATATTTTTTTTTTTGAAAAATGTAGATCTCAAAATTTTGAGAATTCTTAAAATCTTAAGAAATAGAGAACAGAAGAATAGAAATTTTTAAGAAAGAACACTGAACGTCATTATAAAGTTCAAAATTTCATAAAAAAGTGCCAAAAATGTGAAAGAAAGTGAGATTTTAAATAAAAATTTCAACAACTTAAAGAGAAGTTTACAGAACTAAAAAATACTTATAATTAATATATTATAATATAAAAAACGTTTTATTACTACTACTAAAGAAATTTTATTATTCTACCATCGATGACGACATTGTAATCATAGGACACATTATATAATTTTTGTGTACACTTTTGTAATAAAAAATGAGAATTGCCTACCTTGTGCAGAAAAATATTTATTTTGTATCCCTTATTGATGACTTTTTTCTCCTTTTCTGTGTTGAGTAATGTCATTGTCCAGCAGAATTTTTCAGAATTTTCAGTGTTGATTTTTTTTTCAGAGCTGTGCAGTGGCGAATCACTTCCTGAAGTGGAGATTATCAGTCTCTTGGAAGAACAAATTCCGAAATACAAACTAAGGGCCGATACATTGACGAAATTCGGAGGTAAGTGAACAGAATTTCAGTCATGCGTTGCGTTTATTGAAACAACAAATAAACGTAGAAAATTTACGTTTCAAGGTTTTCAGTATCAGTGTTGTGCGAAAAGTGTGCGAAAAAGTTTTGTTTATTATGCAGGTTACGAAAATCAGGATTGGTTTATACCATCGCCGGCTTTGCAAATCGACGAGGCCGATCTGAAACTCTCACCGGATCAAATCCGTGAAACTCTTAATTATTTTCGTAAGTATTTTTTTTTCTCGTTTTAATTAGAAGCAATTTTGAGTGATTAAATTAGTACCGTAATTGCCATAATCCCGTTTCATTGAAAGATTTAACAGATGTTACGGATTAGTTTTTGCTTGTTTGAGGGGAAAAAGTGGTAATTTCAGTCGCTAAAAATATTTCAGGATTGAGTACCGAGTGTCATGATTATTTTTATTAGCAGCTGAAAAATAGGTCTGAAAATATTTTCTTTCAGATTAAGGTTGTTTTAATTGCGTTTTCCTTTTATTGTTTTTATGTTTAAGTAGAGAAAAGTGTGTCTCATTGATAAATTATGTTTTCTTTTCTGCTTCGCTATTGTTTTTCATTGTTGTTAAAGTGTCATTTACGATGGATTTTTCTCACACTAGAAATATTTTTTTTTATTTTGACCTCAAAAAAAGTTTGTTTATTTTAAGTTCGCTGATGTTTACAGAAATAAATTCGTTTCCTGTCGATTATATAACAATTTTCAGACAAACATGAGAGAAAGGAAATGAAACTATTTTAGTGTTCTAACAACCAAGAAATTGGTCGAGAAAATCAAGTGGTTGAGGAAGGAGGGAGATTTTTCCGAAACGTTGCACATAAAATGTAATCAAATTTCGAGTAAATTAAAAAAGTATTCGTTTTTTATTAAAAAATTAAAACAAACCTGAAAAAAGAGTAGTTTGAATTTTTTTTTTAATTTTTATCTAAATTTTGCTTTTATTCTTGAAGATAGAGGACTTTGCAGTATGATTAAAATGTTGGAATAATTTAAGACATCAAAATTATGCTTTTTCAAAAAAAAAAAAGTTGTTAACTCTGACGAAGTAAGATGAATTTTACGAAACGTCGTTGCTGTTTATTAAGAAGTGTATATCAAGTTTTTGTCAAAAGTTTGCTCCTTTAGAAGAAAATGTTAAATAATGAAAAACCTTAAAAAAGTGAAACTATTAAATCTGAACCAAGAAAAAAGTTTGTTCTTTCGAAACTAATGAGAGTTTGCTCAAAATATTGGAGTAATCTGAGAAATCAAAATTATGTCAAGTTTTTATCAAAAGTGTGCTACTCTATTTAAAAAAAAATGTTAAAAAAATAAGACTCAAGAAATAAAGACATGCTATGGAAATAAAGAATTTTATTTTCCTAACTTCACTAAAAAACTAATTTTTTTATTAAGAAAGAAAAAAAAAGAAATTCCAATTTTTTACAAAAAAGAAAAAATTGAACTTGAAAGAAAGTTTTATGGAAACAATAAATTGTTAAAAAACTGATTCTTTATAAAAAGAAAAAAAATGAAAAACCGTAAAAAATTGAAACTTGCAGTGGAGAGAAAGGAAAAACTAAGTATGTATTTTGTTGTCTTAACATTTAAGAAATTTCCCGTTAATAAGACTTGAAGAAGGAGGGAGATTTTTCCGAAACGTTGGCATATACAAAATTTACCTGAAATAATAATTAAAACGAAAAAATAATGATTCTAAGTCTACTCGCAGTTAAATTGAAAAAACACTACTTTTTATTACGAAAGAAAAAATAAAATAAGAAAAAAATAAACTTGAAAGAAAACAAAAATTTTTTAGTTAGTAAGAAAATCAAAAGTGGTCAGACTTGAGGAAGGAGAGAGATTTTTCCGAAACGTTGGCATTATTTTACATTAAAAAATAGGAATACGTATTTCATCAAAAAGGAAAAATTCAATCTGAAAAAAAGAGTTTTGTGGAAACAGTTTTTCTAAAATTCTCAAAAAAAAAAAATAAAATCTGATCAAACTAAAAAGTTGACTCTAAAAATGGAGATTTGTGCTTTCGTAACTAATGAAAGTTTGCTTAAAATATTGAAGTAATCTGAGAAGTCAAAGTTATGTTTTTTGTAATATTAAATTAAAAATTATTTAACCTTGAGGAAATAGAAGAAATTATCCGAAACATCAGTGCTTTTTCTTGTTTAATAAGGAGTCTATATGTCAAGTTTTTATCAAAAGTTTGCTACTCCATTGAAAAATATTAAAAAAAATAAAAACATGCTATGGAATGAAAGGAAAAAAAGAATTTTATTTTTCTAATATGTAACATTAAAAGAAACTAATTTTTTATTACAAAAGACAATACCTATTTTTAACAAAAAAATTGAACCTGAAAGAAGTTTTTTATATTTTTAAAAAACTGATCTATATCAAATTTTTATCAAAAGTTTTCTTCTTGTTATTAAAAAAAATGTTGAAAAATTAGAAAACCTAAAAACAAACGTTGGCAAAAATAAAAAAACAATAGAAACGTATTTCACAAAAAAAGGAAAAGTTAAACCTGAAAAAAGGTTTTTATGGAAAGTTTTTCTAAAATTCGTAAAAAAATTAACCTGAAATAATCTGAGATACGAAAATTATTGGTGTTGTGAGAAAAAAATTAAAATTAACTAAATTAATTAACCCTGAGGAAGTAGAACGACTTATCTGAAACACAGGTGCTTTTCTTTGTTTAATAAGGAGTCTATTTCAAGTTTTATCAAAAGTTTGCTTCCCTAATTACAAAAATTAAAAAAAATTAAAAATGTACAGAAAATTTTCTATTTGTATTAATTGAAAACAAAAACAATGTTTCTTTAATAAATAATAATAAAACCCTTAACCCTGAAGTTGAAGGCCGATCTTGCTAGTAAAAATTATCTAAAATATTATTCCATTGAAAAATTCTTATCTTGAAAAATGAGTAAAAATCTATCACCTTTTCTGACATTCATACACCACAAACTGGAATTTCCGCTATAAATAGCATTTATTTGAAAAATATTGACACATACTAACGAGCAATTATCACTTTTACATAATAATAAATGACGTAGAAACAAAAAAATTTCACTCATCTCAAGTCAAACAATTTTAAACCCAATTTGATAAAAAAATTGACCTCACTTCCGTTTTTTTTCCGATTTGCTCCGTTGATCGTACTTGAAAATTAATAAAAATAAATAAATTTAACACTAAATGAGAACATAATCCAGAGATTTAAGATTGCAAAATAGTTCCAGCGATGCCTATCTGTATAGGACGTGCCTACTTAACTGATAACTTATCACTTTTTTGTAAATTTTATCAATTTCGTTTTTGTTACTATTGTTATTTGGTTGAGGTTGTCTGATTTGCAATTTTTTCTAGTTCTATGTAGTAACCGCGTGAGCCAAATGACCAAGACCTACGATGACATAGAAGCGGTAACTAGGCTTCTGGAAGAGGTAAAAAATACGTTATTTTCGCACCAAGGGAATAAACAACTATTTTAGTCCCGAGAGGCGACCGAAGTGCGCCGAGGGCGTTTTCATTCAAAGTATGTTTATTCCCGAGATGCACACAAAACTTTCCTCCCAACAGAAGAAATTAACAAAGTAAATAAAAAAAATTGTCAAAATATTTAGTTCATTCAAGTGTAATTTTATTTTTTATTTATCACTTTTACATATTATTGTTTAAAAACTCGCACTTTGCTCGTTAAAAAAAATTATTTTATTCCCGAGGGATGAAGCACCGAGGGCATAAAACGTCACTTTATTTCAATTGGGAGGAAAATTGTAATATTTGAAATGAGGTCACTTATTGACCCCCCTTATCGCTAATTTATTTATTTATTTGCAGAAAGAAAAAGATTTAGAATTGACAGCAAGAATTGGGAAAGAATTGTTACAAGCAAACAGTAAACTCGAAAATACCATTGCATCGCTTGAAACGGACCTCAAATCGGCTTTAGAAAAAATCACACAGTTAAGTCATGAAGTACAGAAGAAAACCGAACTTATCCAAATACTTACCAACGATATGGACGAGTCGATTTTCGAAAATGGGACAAGTGGACGGATTAATTTGGAATTGATGCAGAAAAGAATGGGTGTGTTTTTTTTTTTGTTATAGCCTTTTATTTATTAATGCCCTCGGTGCTACGCACCTCGGGTGTATACCTAAAAAAAAAAATTCTCTGCTTTATGATAATATACTATTTCTTTAGCTGGACTTGAGGAAGAGAACAAAGCCTTGAAATCGGAGTACAATCGGCTAGCACGTGACACTGAAACAGTTGAAGCTAAAGAACAAATGCTTCTAAAGGACTTAACCGGCCAACTAACATGTGCTAACACCAGTATGACTTTTCTTGAAGATGAACTTGATCGTCAAAAAGAAGAAAATCGTTTTCAACACGAACAAATTCTCGCACTTCAATCGAAACTTGAAGATATGGAAAAAAAATTAAACAAATTTATTGGTGAAAATTACGAATTGAATGGTCTTTTACAAATAACTAAAGATAATCAAGGCAGTCTTGCAATTGAATTATCTGAATTTAAAGCACGATATTATGAAGTTGAGAGTTTATTACGTGATACACAAGAACAATTGCGTAAATTACGTAAAAAACAAATGCCAGGTGCTAGAATTGCAATGTTTTCATCATTGGGAATGAATTCACAGCCGTTTGATAGTCTACAAAGTGAATTGGAGATGTCGATGCATTCGGAATTGAGCACCGATTCGGGAATTTCCAATCCGGATATGTATGTACTATTTTTTTGAATCACTCTATACACGCATTTTGCATTTTAATGTGTTTTAAAATGAAGTTATATACTCATATAATTACAAAACTCGCACACGGCTCGTGTTGTAAACTTTTTTTGTTTAATTTTTGCAGACCACGTGCCAGAAATGTGTTTTTGAATCACCCTGTAGACACATCAGTCTCATTTTGCATTTTTACTTGTCTCAAATCATTTTATAATCACACAACTCGTGTTCTTCTCGTTTTGTAAACTTTTTCATTTGTTTTATTTTTGTAACTGAGTATAAAAAAGGATAAAAATAAAAAATGGATGTCCCATTTTTGGGTCACTCTGTGGACACATTAGCACGTTTATGTATTTTTACAAGTTTTACAATCATTATTTTTACATGTAGTTAAGAAACTCGCCCTTGACTCGTTTTATAAAAAATCTTAAAAAAAAACATTTTTAAATCATGCACTATGGCCCATTTTTGTATTTTTACAAGTCTCTAATAAGTTTTGCTAACATAATTTTTCATATAATATAATTTATATGCCATTTTTGAGTCACCCTGTGGAAATATTAACCCGTTTTTACATTTTTACAAGTCTCAAATAAGTTTTGTCATCATTTTTACATATAATTAAAAACTCGTACTAGGCTCGTTTTATAAAAAAAATGTTTTTTTTTTGTAGCTTTCAGTAATAGAAAGTATTTGAAACCGACACGGACATGTATTTTGGTATCACCCTGTAGACACATCAGTTCAATTTTGCATTTTTTTTTCAATTAATTTACTTACTCATATAAATAAGAAAAACATTTTTAGTTTTTTATTTTTTCTATTTCACAACATGTATATGCAATTTTTGAATCACCCTGTAGACACATTAATCCGATTTTACATAAGTTTTGTAATTATTTGAAAGAATTTATTTACTCATATAATTACAAAATTCGTCTTCTACTCGTTTTGTAAATCTTTTAAATTATGTTTTTTACATTTCTGACATTTTTGTATCATCCTATACATACATTAGTCTGTATTTGCATTTTTACAAGTCTCAAATGAGTTTTGTCGTCATCATTTTTACATATAGTTAAAAACTCGCACTTGGCTTGTTTTATAAAAAAAAAATTATTTATTTTTTGTAGCCTTCAGTACTGGAAAGTATTTGAGAACGACACGTAGATTTTACATTTTTACAATTTTCAAATAAGTTTTGTAATCATTTCAATCAATTTACTTCCTCATAATTTATTTTTGTTAATTATTCTATTCGTGTTGACAACTTTTTAATTTGTTATTTTTTCTATTTCACAACATATATATGCAATTTTTGAATCACCCTGTAGATATATTAATCTGATTTAGCATTTTAAATGTTCCAAATAAGTTTTGTTATTATTTGAAAGAATTTATTTACTCATATAATTATAAAACTCGTCTTCTACTCGTTTTGTAAATCGTTTTAATTGTTATTTTTTTTTCATTTTGCCAAAAAGTGCGACATTTTTTAATCATCCTGTACACACATTAGCCTTTTTTTTAATGTTTACAAGTCTCAAATAAGTTTTGTCATCATTTTAATATATAAATAAAAACTCGTATTTGGCTCGTTTTTATAAAAAAAATGTTAATTTTTTGTAGTCTTTAGTACAAGAAAGTATTTGAGACCGGCACGGACATGTATTTTGTAATCAACCTGTAGACACATCAGCTCGATTTTGCATTTTTACAATTTTCAAATAAATTTTGTAATCATTTCAATCAATTTTTTCACTCATAAAATAAAAAATCGTCTTCTTCTCGTGTTGCAAACTTCTTAATTTGTAATTTTTTCTATTTTACAACATGTATATACATTTTTTGAATCACCCTGTAGACACATTAATTCGATTTTGCATTTTAAATGTGTCAAATAAGTTTTGTAATTATTTGAAAGAATTTATTTACTCATATTATTACAAGACTCGCTTTTTGCTCGTTTTGTAGACTTTTTATTTGCTATTTTTTTTTAATTTCGCCACACATTTTTTAATCATTTTTACAAGTCTCAAATAAGTTTTGTCATCATCGTTTTTACATATAATTAAAAACTCGCACATGGCTTGTTTTATAAAAAAATGTGTTTATTTTTTGTAGTCACGGACATGTATATGCAATTTTTGAATCACCCTGTAGACACATTAATTCGATTTTGCATTTTAAATGACTCAAATAAGTTTTGTAATCATTTGAAAGAATTTATTTACTTATATAATTACAAAACTCGCCTTTTGCTCGTTTTATAAATTTTTTAAATTGTTATTTTTTTTTATTTCTGACATTTTTGTATCATCCTGTACATACATTAGTCTGTTTTTGCATTCTTACAAGTCTCAAATAAGTTTTGTTATCATCATTTTTACATACAGTTAAAAACTCGCATTTGGCTCGTTTTACAAAAAAAAATGTTCATTTTTTGTAGCTTTTAGTACTGGAAAGTATTTGAGACCGGCACGGATATGTATTTTGTAATCATCCTGTAGACACATCAGCTCGATTTTGCATTTTTACAATTTTCAAATAGATTTTGTAATTATTTCAATCAATTTTTTTACTCATAAAATTAACAAAAATCGTCTTCTCCTCGTGTTGCAAACTTTTTAATTTGTTATTTTTTTCTTTTTTATTTATTATTTTTTTTATTTCGCCACACATTTTTTAATCATCCTGTACACACATTAGCTCGTTTTTGCATTTTTACAAGTCTTAAATAAGTTATGTCATCAACATTTTTACATATAGTTGAAAACTCGCACTTGGCTCGTTTTATAAAAAAATTGTGTTTATTTTTTGTAGCCACGGACATGTATATGCAATTTTTGAATCACCCTGTAGACACATTAATTCGATTTTGCATTTTAAATGACTCAAATAAGCTTTGTAATCATTTGAAAGAATTTATTTACTTATATAATTACAAAACTCGCCTTTTGCTCGTTTTGTAAAACTTTTCATTTGTTATTTTTTTTATTTTTGACATTTTTTAATCATCCTGTACCACATATTAGCCCGTTTTTTCATTTTTACAAATCTGGTTAACATCATTTTTAACTTATAATTAAAAACTCGCACTTGGCTCGTTTTATATAAAAAATTTTTTTTATTTTTTTTTAGCCCCCAGTATAAGAAAGTGTTCGAAACTGTACGCTGTGCTTCACAAAACTCCCTCAGTAGTGCCGACAGTCTCGGAAGTCTCCACTCCGGTCTCGGGGGCTACGCAAGTAGTACAACCGGAAGTGGCCCCCGTATGAGCATCCGGGCTCAAACCACCGACATGCGACGTTCTTCCGGTTCAATTTACAGTAGCAGTTCTCTGGGATACCCCAGTATTGACTCTACCGGTAATTCAGATACCGAATTTAGTCAAACCGATTCTGATGATGGATACCCGTAAGTGGCCCCCTTGAGGGGGTTATAGCCATCATTAATACTCAATTTGTGTAGGGGTAGAGCCCAGAAGGGGATTCCGGGTGTTCCGGGCGCTGCCGACCTCGAAGCAGCCCTAAAACGTCTAACTCCGGGCGAAGTCCTCGCCCGGAGAGCCAACCTCCAACACGGCCCCGCTTTCGGGGGCTATGAGGGCGAGGGTGGAGTCCCATTTGGGTGTCGCACCCCCGATAGTTTGATGTCGACGGGCTCCGGTAACTACATGGGGTGGAAGTTACCCGAGAAGCTCCAAATTGTCAAACCTATTGAGGGGTCACAAACATTGCATCAATGGTCGCAGTTGGCTCAGCCCACATTTGGGGGCTTGTTGGAGGAGAGACCGGGAGTGAAAATAAGGGGTGGGAAAGAGTTGGAGGAGATGGGGTTGGAATCGTACGGTTTGAGTGATTTGGAGGAGGATGAGGAGTATACYAATCCSGGGAAGATTTTTGATTCGTTACAACCCACTTATACATTGACCAATAGCACAGTAATGCATCCKGATGATGGGACTTTTGTAACGCCCAGTGGGCGTGGCAGTCGAGTCGCGTCGGTGTGTTCGAGTTTACAGAATTCGCCACCGCAGACTCCGGGGCAGTTGAGTCGCAGGAATTCGTGTAGTACTTTCTCCACGACTTATGGACTCGCTAAAATACTGAATGAGCGAGGTTTGGACTTGTTTTCGCCTTGAAATTGTGCTAGAATGTGTTTTTGTAGGGATTAAAGCGGCCACGCCCTCCGCATTCAATACGCCGTCAGGAGCCAATAGTTTTACGCCAACGGCCACGCCTTGTAACAGTCCGGATGGAAGCCCCGCCCATTCAAGGTCACAATCACCAGAGCCGTTCAGTTTTCCGCAATTGATTCTCAGTTCGGTGCCACAGTTTATTAAGGATACGGTTGGGGGCGGAGCGAAGAAGAAAGTCATCAAAAGGGCGAAACCCGAAAGGGCAGAGGTAAATAATACTAATTGTTTTACGTGGGATTCGATGTTCACGCATGAATTTGCATGAAAAACACTGTATCACGCTTTATAAGGGTGGAAATAAATGATAAATTATGCACGAGTTTTTATTTTGCATGTTTTGTGTCAGTCTAACAAAAAAAAATATTGACAGGTGTCAAAAGTGACGTTTTGATGTATTTTTCATTTTGACAAATGATGACTACGTTTACACAGCAATTTATTATAATCAGTCTTAAAATAACAAATTTTTGT